CTACCTCTGAAACCAGTAATCCCTGACTGACTGACTAATATGATTACTTACTTCTGTATGGTATTATGGTTCCTCTGTGTTAAGACCTTGGCAAATTCTCTGACTCTATCTATCGGACTACCTCTATCTAGTGTTCGGAAATGGCGCTTATTTACACGTCTTAAGCAATTCAGTGCTGGACGCTTGACTGCCTCCTATGAATCGATCAATTTACTTTCCAACACTTTTTATGGAAATGTGAGTATTTTTGTCATAAAAACAAATGGCATGCATCTTCCTGTACCTTTACACCAAATGCTCAAATCGGCTATTCATGACAGCAGCAGTATATTAGAGAGCGCGTAGATGTCGCAGGGCGAGTTTGAGTTTATAGAACTTAGGCATTCACCAGAAAAATGAACTTTAATGCTCACCACTATGGTCGATGTCATCATCCATAACCGAAAGTCAATTTACCTGGTCCTGGTGCTCAAATGATCTATCATTGAGAAGGGCAAATCGATTGGTTGAGTTGATGCCGCGTAGGAGTGGTCGAGTTTAAATCGTTTATATCTGGCGATGACGATTATGAAATAGTGGGAGAATATGACATAAGAAAATATAATGGTGTAGAAATGAACTGAAGTTGGAGATGAACGGAATGGAGTTGGGTAAGGGTGGAATGTAGAACGACATTCATGTCTGTTCAAGAGGAAAAAAATGGGATTCAAGGATCAAAGAAATATTTGAAAGGCCGCTGGTGTTAAAATTTCGTTTGGCCGCCTGTCTATTCTGAAGTAGGTTTTATGATATACTGTATCACTCAAGCTCATTGAGGCGCTTCTGTCTGTTTACCTTATAAGCACAGTCTTCTAATACGTGGGTTTTAAAAATGAAGCGCTATACGTTTCACTGCGCTTTCAAGTAAGCAAGAGCTGCCCTGACAGCTATCGTCACCAGTCCGGTAGTCATGAGATAGAAACGTTGAAAACTCGGCCTACAGCAGCCTACTGTACTATTGCGTGAGGCATCTTATAAAACCTTGAAATTTATTGAATTTTCTGTCGAAATAAAGTTCTCTATATCATTCGTTGAAGTCCATCGAACTTATTAACATGAGTCTAAGGATGTCCCTTCCTCCAACATCTACTCAAGCTTCAGATCACTGCAGTACATATCGACCAAGACTATATAGCTTTCACAGGTTTATTATTTGCAAAGCAAATGAAAGGGAAATAATTATAGTATCTCTAGGTTCATGTTCATTCAGTCCCTTGAACTGAGCTGAGAAATATAGTAAGATGCTCTCGGCCAGACCTTGTCATAGAGATATGGCCAGAGATAGTGTATTGTATGCTAGGATACTACCTGCGACGTCATTAATAACACTATGTATTCCCAAACTACAATTCTAAACCGTTCCTTTATAAATGGAACTATAAACTATGTATGTACTTTTTTACTACTTTCCTTTCCAAACCAATTACAATAATAACGATCGAAGTTTCAGTATTTTTTCCATTTTAATTAAGGGTAACCAACACTGCAGCCTGAGGGACAAACCCCACAATCATCCTAAATTTTTCATATGTACCCATCCCATTTAGAGGCTGCATAGGATAATTAATGCAAAAATAACTGAGTAAAATATTTTGTACATTGATGTCTATTGAGAAGCTGTTTCTTCAGTATAGCTTGGCGTTTAAATAAACTTGATCAAGTTCTGCTTGCGTATTCGGTTCTAGGTACGGTTCTAGGTTCGAAGTTAGGACGAGCGACGTCACTTTATCGAATCTAGGTGTGGTTCTAGGTTCAAGATTAGGACGAGCAATGTCACCTTGTCGGCCCTAGGTGCGGTTCTAGGTTTGGGTGTTCTCTAATTTGCCTGGAAGAATTTATCATTTCACTGAAGGTATTATGAAGACTTTGAATATAATTTATATGCTTTTCAACGTTATTGAACACCCTGACGGCGAACATACATATTCTAAGTCTTGTTGTTATGCTGCGGTCTTCCTGTTGCTCACATAAAACTTCTGCAACTCTTAATGATATTTCAGCTATCTAAAGTATTCTTGCTACTCTGCTCGTGATAGTTTTTTAAATTAATATTCAGCTAAGCTCGCTTCAGCGTGAGTTTCAGCTAACCAAATATTAAATGGAATCATAGGAACTTGAACTGCTAAAGATAATACGAACCATAGCTATGAGCTATGAACAAAAAGCAAAGATTAAAATCGTGTAAGACGTTGGTAAACGTTCCCTAGCTTATCACGCATTGTACGCAAATCGCGCAAAGCGAGTGGATTAGCAAGTGTCCAAACACCACACTAGATTTGACAGTGATTGGGTTTCACGGCGTGCTATCCGTACTTGGAGACTCTGTGTTTCGATAGGAATTATAGTACATTGAATAAACGGGTCTAAGTGGCACTACAGACGCTACTCGTGGTATATGACAATGTCAGTGGATGATAAATTTATTGCTGAATTATTTATAACACAACTCGAAAGGGAACAGTTACCTCTACTAAGTTCTTATGCAAGGTTTGTTCTGAAAGTCGGATTTGGTGCCTCTTATGTTCTGTCTCCGATGTACTGAATTGAAATTCCTTCAACTCATATCGTACGTATCCCGAGTGCTCAATACGAGCCTAAATTATTGATATCTCATAAGTGTTTTGATTTCAAATGAAAGACTGATTACGGTTCATTGTTTTTGGTGAGATAATAGCGGATACTTGAATCTGACGTGGAACTGACGCGGAACTGACGTGGAACCGCCAAAGAACAAAAAATTCATTGGTATTTCCACGAGTAATTTGTAACGTCTCGCCACGTAGACTTACTCAATGTACGAAGAATGCCATGTGGCTAGCGAATAGTAAGTTCTATAATAGAATTCCATTTTATTATCCTTTCTAAATCACGCGGATTTTCACCATAGTCTTGCGGTACCTCGGTTTCATGGAAATAAAGGGCAAGTGCAACACATAAGAAATTTACCAGATTTGCCATCAATAATTAGTAAAATCTCCCTTGTGGTTTTATTGACAGTGACCGAAGGGTTATCAATTATGTCAGTTGGAAAAGCAACTTCAAGAGAACAGTCTACTTTCTGCCCGGGCGGGTTTTCGTTGCGTCTCGCGGAGGTTCGGATATGCGATGTTTGAAGGTAAAGAAGTATATTAACAATATGATAAATTTCGATGAAGGACATCATTAATATTAAAGTTCCTAAACACATTGTTGTTTCCGTAACTTATTATTTGTGTTTTCGTATGGGAAAGCGCTAGAGTTGTGGTCTTACGTCTATGGAAAGCTTGGGTTAGGGTTGCCGGCGAGGAGTTTCTTTAAAAATAACTGTGAATGCCCGGCGTCTATTGCCGGGCCAAGCCAAACGGTCAAAATTTAACCGCACAGGTTAAATTTGTCAATCAACTTAAATACAGTCGACTCTCGTCTCCTTTCCATTCAACGAACAACATGTTTAACCCAAAAATAGCAATTATAGGAGCTGGCCCTGCCGGTCTCACACTGGCCCGCCTTCTGGAATACAACAACATGTCGTGTAAAATATTTGAACTGGACGCTGATCGCAATAACCGAGATCAAGGAGGTACATTGGATCTCCACGTCAAAACTGGTCAACTAGCACTTCGTGAGGCAGGATTGATAGAGGAATTCAACAAACTAGCAAGACCCGAAGGAGAAGGAATGAAAGTGATTAAGTTCGATGGAACCGTACTTTATGATGATGGCCACATTGAAACGAATATGTCGCCGGAAAGATCCTGGGAAAAACCGGAAATAGACCGTGTGCTGCTACGAAATATGCTACTGGACTCAGTCAAGCCTGAGACCATCTCTTGGAACAAGAAGCTCCTTCGGATTGAACCTTCAAGCGTTGACTCTAAACAGCGCTTCGACTTGTACTTCGCAGATGGAACTGTGGAGAAGGAATTCGATCTTGTGGTTGGAGCTGACGGAGCGTGGTCAAAAATTCGACCTTTGCTCACAAACGAGTGGCCATTCTATGCCGGTGTCACGGCCGTGGAACTTTGGGCATTGGACGTTCAGGAGCGTCATCCCTGGCTTGCGGATTACGTTGGCAGTGGTAGCTGTTTTATGTTTGACGAAGGCCGTGCACTACTGTGTCAGCGCAATGGTAACAACAGCATTCGTGCCTACGCCGGTGTTCGTCAACCGGAGTCTTGGACTAAGGATTGTGGAATCGACTGGTCGCAACCTGCCATTGCCCGGAAGGAGCTTATTGACCGGTATTTTGCTGACTGCGGAGAGGACGTGAAACGGATCATACAAGAAGCGAGCGATGAGCTGAAAGTACGACAATCGTATATGCTTCCTGTCGGCGTGGAATGGCAATCTCGTCCTGGAGTGACTTTGATCGGTGATGCCGCACATTTGATGACTCCATTTGGTGGTGTTGGCGTGAACATCGCAATGGCAGATGCACTTGATCTGGCCCAGAATATTTTAATCTGCCGCGACACTTGTAATTCAAAATCGTATGAAAGCTTTGATGATGCTCTGGCAGACGCAATCCAAAAATTTGAGGCTTCTATGTTTGCAAGAGCAAAACCAAATGCACTGAGATCAGAACATGGTTTACATGGACATTTTAGTGCTGGTGGAGCAGAAGAATTTGCCGAGAGATTACGCCGAATGAAGAATACCACCAACAGTTCCAACTGATCAAAGTTTTAGCTGTAAGGTACCTTCTAAATCAAATTATTAGTTCTACGTGCACGGTAGCCATTAAGACTTCTGTTCTTTTTTTGTGTGAAATAAAAATGCTCAGAAATTATATAGCAGTTCAAAAGTAACCCGGTACGAAGAAAAGGTACAAAGTCTGTTTGAAATCTAACAGTTTTTTCATTGTCCAATATTGCAAACCTTAAGTTGATACATATGAACGGTACGTTGGTGCTCTCCGAGTTTCGCGATAATTGTGGCTGCTAATGTAGTACTCTGCCTTAGCATGATTTATCGTACTAGTAGTTTCAGTATTTACGGCATACTGATTTTCTGCTGTTCGGGCTTTTCAACTTCAAAATATAACAGTTGACACCTTTGGCACTGAGATCATTCCATTGACCGACAACGAGAAATTTAGCTTTTCCATAACTTTGATCCGTCTTGGTTTCTGTCGCCTTAACGCTCTAACTTTCTGTCTTTGAAGTGAGTGCTGCATTATACAACACTTACATTTTTAAACTGATGAGATTTCCAGCAGTTGGAAGTACTTCTAAGACAACTCTTAGAAAAAGAAGAATTAGTAATCAAAATTTATATTCTCTGCATGCTTTGAATGATCTGGAAGGTTTTGAGTCTCCGCCAGCTATCAAATACATTGTGAATACTCTTTTCGGGCAAAAAGCTTTTGCATAATGCCTTATAAGTACGTAAGCCGACGAAAGCTTTAAAATGATAGCGAAGTGCTCTGATTTATTTGCAATTGTTTAATTCTCAATGGATATAGCTTTCTCACCTCTAACACTGCCCAATGGCGCAACACTGCCTAATCGTATAGCTAAGGCTGCAATGGAAGAGAACATGGCAGATGCAGATCAAACTCCCTCTCAACAACTTCTTCAACTTTATAAAGGCTGGTCTCAAGGAGGAGCTGGGCTATTACTTTCAGGCAACGTTATGGTTGATTGCCACGCCATGACCGGGCCTGGAGGTGTGGCATTAGAAGACGACAAACATCTTGCAAAATTCGAGGAATGGGCAAAGGTTGGCCAGACAGCTGGAAACCATTTCTGGTTGCAAATCAACCACCCAGGAAGACAAATCCGTACAGAGCTCGGTCAGCCTGCTTTAGCACCCTCTGCTGTTCCTCTCGACCTTGGAAACCTCAGCAAGCTATTTGCTCCTCCCCAAGAAATGACTGAAGTCCAAATTGAGGATGTTATCAATCGATTTGTTACTACCAGCAAGCTAGCAGAGCGAGCTGGTTTCAGTGGAGTACAAATCCATGCTGCACATGGCTATCTACTTTGTCAATTCCTTTCACCGCTAAGCAATTTGCGACAAGATCAGTGGGGAGGTAGTTTGGAGAACCGGTCAAGAATCCTCTTCGAAATTGTCAAACGAGTTCGAGCTGCTGTATCGCCCAAATTTTGTGTGGCAGTAAAGCTGAACTCTGCAGATTTTCAGAAGGGCGGTTTCGACCAAGAAGATGCATCTTGGGTGGTTTCTAAGCTGAACAACATGCAGGTCGATCTTATTGAGCTCTCTGGAGGAAGCTACGAGTCTCCAGTCATGCAAGGAGAACCTGCAAAAGGATCGACACTGGCAAGAGAAGCATACTTCCTAGAGTTTGCGGCCGACATTGTCAAGGTAACTAATATACCGATTATGCTCACTGGTGGAATTCGGCGACGTCAGGTTCTCGAGCAAGTTATGAATAGCGGCGTAGCGGTGGCAGGTATAGCCACTGCACTGGCTTTACAACCAGACCTTCCGAATGCCCTTAAGCGAGGAGAAGACCCCAATCCTCAGCTAGCTGCTGTCAAGTGGTGGAATAAGACATTGGCTGCACTGGCACGCATGATGGTGATCAAATATCAACTGAACCGACAGAGTCAAGGTTTGAAACCCAAGTTGTCTGTGTGGCCATCTTGGGCACTCCTTCTCGGTTTATGGTCTGGAAACAACCGAGCCAAATTATACAGAAAGCAGATGGAAATGAAAGAATAAATACGCGATAAATTAGAAGCTTCCGTCATTCTGATATGTAGATTCGATATGAAACAAAATTTGTTACTAACTATTTAACGTATACAACTTGATAGCGAATGAATGAATAAAACATGATTTCCGGCCATAACAAAATTAGAGCAGTGTGATAAAGGTTGGAAGGATATAAACCTAAATGGTGTAATGTTGGGTAAGATATGACCATGAGAGCATTATGAAAAACGAAAGCTTTATCAAATCGGTAAAAAGCGTGACACACGGAGGTTACAGTTGCCCTCTGTTAGCAATGGCTGTGTTATAGAGGATTTTGAGTCCATTTTTCAACGAAAGATGGTTCATAACCTAGCTGACAGAGTATATTTGCTCTGAGGTTATTTAGCGGAGTTGCAGCTAATAAGCCACTATTCGGAGCTAATTAGCGGAGCTGGAGCTAATTAATCAAACAAATCAAACATGAGACTATACTGAATCTCTGTCCAATCATATTCTGGTATATACCTATCTTTTATCCAATCACTGATGAGGCACTGTCACAACCAGAAAAACGGGTCGTGGATCTTCGGCTTAAGCTTCCCCGCACAAACTGTTTTACCCCACCTCTCATTCGAGTGCAGTACAGTAATCAGAGCTTTCACTGAACTACAACATCAAATTCCTGTAATGCCACATAGAACACAACATTGTGAGCAATTAAGCCAAAAAAAAATGTCATAAAAAATTTCTCCTCTCGAGAGATTGTGGCCCTAGAAGGTATTGTTAAAATTTTAACATCGCTTGATCAAAAGGTAACGATACCAAAGTAGTGTAATACAGCACTGTATAGAAATAAATTTAATCCGATTTGGCATGTTTGATACAGGGATTTGAGATGCTCACGATGATGCCAGCTTCAGCTTGCTCGAACTGACCCTGGATACCAATGTTTCAACCTTCTCGCGGGTCGATAGGGTTTAAGGATTTGGCAAACGCACAGAACTCCGTCTCGGTCGAATCTTCTAATGTCCTTTTGTGATAAGCAGTTAAAGTGGTTTCACGACTGCTATACATGGATGATAAGTCTTCATTATCGCGATTGTTACTTGGATAGTAATGAGACGTAGATAATTCATAGTTGTGGATCAATATTTCGACGGCGATTTGACAAAGTCTACCAAAACTTCGTATAGTCGATTTCACTTTCATTCACCAGAATTGACATCATTTCGTAGAACATTCTGTCGCCATGGCTGGCGCATTCATTCTCTCTGCGAAGACCAAAATTGTTAAGTTCCACCACTGGTGGAATTGGAGGATGGCATGTCTATGGTGTATTGGATAACATGATCTTAGAAACGTTCCTTAACGAGGGTGAACAAAGTGCTACAAAGACATACTTTTCCAGCGGTATCTTAGACATGTTTTCGATTTCCCTCGACACTAGATTATCTGCAACTGTAAATGTGACGGCGCTGAAGAGCGGTTGGGACCAAAAGAAATAACATGACACTTGTAAAATGCTATTTTGGCAATCGATGGTTATTTTCGCTTTGTCGTAGGACAGCATATGTCTATAACTGTATTCTCTAGCATTAATAATATGAAAAGGAATATGCTCTGTGCAAGTTACATTGGTATGAGAACAATGTGTTGGGTACTTGCACCTCTTTGTTTGTACAAATCGTTCCGTAGGAGCAGAGGCCCTTTCACGATCCGTTGTTTATTATGCCCAACCATGCAAGGGGTATGCTAAATTTTTGCATGATGCAAAGAAAATAATTAGGCGGCGATCACCTCAATAGTAATGGCCGTCCTCAACCTTTTCTGAGCTTGAAGTGTGCCAAAGACAAACACTATAAAAAAGGAAAGCGCAACCATCCCTGGTAAATGATAAACGATATCATGTCATGTAAAAATCTGAATATGACCGTTCATGAGGCTCAAGTTTTCCAGTTGCAATATTGCCAAAATACAACGCTCCAAACACAGCATGTGCTATTACACAATTTAAAGTTCTCAACCCATGAAGAAAAATAGATATTTCAATAATACCTCGTCATTTGCTATTGAAGACCCTTGAGGTGCCATAAATAGAGGGTATAACCTGTGAAGGAGGCTTATAATTTTTTAAGGTATAGCTCACACTCTACTTTGTGTGCAGGAGATTTTGAAAATAAAGGCAAATCGACTGCATCATGCATCGCTGTAAGGATATCTCGGAAAGTGTAGTTACAACCACCGCCAACGGTCATTATGGTCTGGTCAAGGCTTTCTACCATGGGATATAATTAGACAGCGCTACAAAAAAACATCATTCCATTGTATTGATATGGTCATACCTTGAAATAGCTGGAATATAAAGATGAAGTCAGGAAGAAAAAATATTTCAACTGCACGCTGTAAGGTGGTTCATGCATACAAACAAGAAATAGCTCCTGTGAGTGACTTTTATGAGTATGACCCTACTTTAATCTGCTGCATGTTGGTTGGCTATGGATATTCTACTGCCTATAAATACAAAAGATTATTTCATGTAACTAACCGCCATCAACCCAAGACACTATAATCTATTCTGGCAAGTGTCCAGTTCCAGGATATATTCATCAAACGGACCTGCAAAAATTAATATCAAGTAATCTTTTTTAAGTGTTCCAGGACCCAACCAATATGAAGTTCGCTCTTATTGCCACCATTTGTCTGTTCGCTGTCGTTGCTAATGTACAGGCTGTACCATTTCCACCACAACCACCACCACCAGGACCACCACCACCAGGACCACCACCACCACCACCACCAGGACCACAAAGACCATCAGGACCACCAGGACCACCACCACCAGGA